AACAAATGTAAATACTATTTCGTTGTTTGAAGGGAGGTAGAAGAGACTTAGTCCCCAAGTTTTTACCAACGGTGCATTCGTGTGTCTTAGTAGACATGTAAATATATGTATGTGTGTGTATTTATATTCTCAACTTTTTTTGGTTAGTGTTGGACAATTTTTGTTTTGATAGACCTGCCAGAGGTAGACGTCGGTGATTATGACATTTCGAGATCCAAATTCACCAGTTATTAAGACTCTTACGTAGATGATAAAGGCGCTAACCTCTAAAAGAAAAAATCAATGAATACCTTGTTCATTTAAATCTAGGAGCTAGCTAGTGTAAGGACCATTTCAATCAATCCATCTATGTCCGAAAATTTCATTCAGATATTTAATTGCCCGTCTATGATTATGTGATTGTGCACCATCGTGTTGCTGCCACTTGTAACCATATGTTTCTAGTTATTGCTAATGACATATCATCTATATTATCACGAACAACATCTATTATGAGGTGGTAAAATCTTTCATCATCCGATTATTGAATTTTCTCATACAAAGTGCGGCGGTAATAAAATTGGACACATTATTTGAATCGTTATTTGCCACATACTAGTTTATGGGATCGTTATTAACTTAATTCTTCTTCGGCTCTCAATGGTAGTATTACATCAGGATTTCTGTGTTCAAAAAGGATTGTGCTACTCTATCACTTTTATGTTCTTCTCCACATCACAATGTCATTTCTGCCAATGAGAAATTTGTTTTATTTCTTTACTCTCTTGAATCATAAGATGTCAGAAATGGTTTAATTTAATTTCTGGCTGAATTTAAAATCATTTTTAAAAAATCCATTTAAAAAAAAAAACTCGAGGTACACTTGTAACATAAGTGAAATTCGTGAAAACGGTTTAAAATTTTCTGAATAATATAATAATTAAAAAAATAAATATGACCAACAGTTGAATTGTATGCTTATATTTAAAAATACTAAATTACACTAAATCGCTTTTTTGTGTTGATAAAAATTAAAAAAATTAAAAATTAAGTTGCCTTATTTTTATGAAATTTAAAAAATGGTCAGAAAATAATTTTATAAAAAGATTATTATTTTATTTGTATTCTTTGATAAATCTGATTACCTTTTATATTGAGCTATGATACAGAGGTTAAATCAAGTGTGTTTTCCTCTGCGAAAAGTACATTATATTTCACAAAATATGAGCAAGTTAGCAAGTTAAGTTATTTATCACTGAAAATTTGTGATTTTGAAATTTCGGAATTAACGGAATATCAGAAGGGAACTTTTTGGTGAAAAATAATTAAAAACTGCCGAATTTGTGGAGTTTTTGAGTATTTGAAAAATATGTATTTCGTAATTCGTTTTAATGTGAAAGCTAAACCTCGCCACAAAATCACAAACCAAAACTTTGAGAAGGTTTTCGCAACATTTCACAAATTATTGGATTGTTTCCATGTCCTTTAGTTAGTTGAGTTAATTATGATAACTTGCTCAATCGTATATTTCAACTCTAAACTGCCTGGCCGTAGAAAAGAGGGTCTAAATTTTGGCGCAAAAAGTTAAGTATACCGATATAAGTTTTAAGTTCCCAACAATGCTCGAAAAACTTTCCTGCTCGCGAGTCGTTATAAACGAGACAAAGGCTGAAGTTGCATGCGCACATAAAGCGAGAGTTATGTGGAGTTGAGCATCTTGAAAGCCTAATGATGAATCGATGCTGTTTGGAAATTGGAAGTCGGCGCGGATTCTCGCGGAGCATGAAGCTTTTGTACACGTTTCTAGAGCAAAACCGCACTTTTGTCCGTTTCGCTCTGTAAGATTATTGTTCCTTCCTGGTGTTATCCTTAAATTCAATGAGCCGAAGTTTATAATTAAGTCGGGAAGTTTTGGAGACCCTCAAAAACAATGGCGTGTTGTCTTTGTTAGGAAAATACGCGATAATTGAAGTGAATTACTTGAGATTTTATATATAACTTTAAATTAACAATTAAATTCACAGAAAATGGGTAGGATATTATAGGTACTAGGCAGAAAGCAATGTAGCGGACTGGCTAAAGAATCTCCAGTTTTATTCTAACATTACGGAGTAGAAATAGGTGTCGAAGCTCTCACACAACTTCAGATTACATAAAAATGTAATTATTTTTTAATTTCTCCGTATGTTGGTCGTTAGCTCTTATTTTGCAAAAATATTTTACAATTTTACTACACCGTGTTCCGTTTTTCGATTGAAACGATTATTTTTAATAATATGTAAATAATTAGATCTGTACATTTCAACAACATTACTCTGCATAGAGTCTGACTCAATTGTCAATAATCCCTAGTTAGGGATCCATCTTCGCTTCCAAGGTGTCGTTATAAACGACTTCCTTTTTTTTCGTTTTTTTTTATATGTACTACTACTATCCTTCGATTAAATGTTGGTAAGCACTAGTAATATATCTATATTATCCTATTCCCGTGTAATATAATTAATAATTAAATAATATATAATAAATAATTAATTTTTTCAATATCAGTTTTCTACTTATTAAAGGATCGATACTCTGCTCTTGTGCAAACTCCCTCCAACTTCTGTCTAGGGTAGGTATTTTGTTTTATAAATAAAAATGCATTTTTATTTGAGTCGCTTATTTTTCGTAAGATTCCACTTGACGTGCTTCCTATAATAATTTAAATTTCTTGATAGTTACAATTCCAGTCATTCTAAGGCACGTACTAAAATTGCCAAAACACCACCAGCAGTCTTCATGCATATGCATTACCTGAAATTTTTGTTTGAAGGTGGTAGGTAGATAATGATTCACAAGAAATACTAACAAATTTTCCAACTTTTATTGTTTTTTTTTTCATTGCTTACAAAACGTTTTCTGCAGATGTATTATTATCCTTAATCAAGTGCAGACTAATCTTATTTCTAAGGGGACGAGGCTTATATACTAGATTGCTACGTTCCAGTGACGGAGTCGGGTGCAGTAAAGGGTGAGGTTGTTGCTCTAGGTTGCCAGATTGTATGTATTTCTATTCTCGGAATGCTAAAGATGATGATGGTAGCGGACAGTGTTACCCGAAACGTGATGCAAACAAAGAGAAAAGCCTGTGGAGGTTCAACAATCTCTAAGTGTTTTGACCTATGGACGACACTTAAATTGTATTTCCTTGGATGGCATCTCCCGTTTTACTACTCTGCATTATACAGAAACGGAATTATTAATTTGTTACTGCCTTATTTAAGAACATGCGGACATAAAAACTGCCAGTAACTTTTTTTATAGGTTTTACAAGTAAAATAAATTCCAGCTATGTAATGACGTACCATTTTTTCTAAATTCTTTTATTAATAACCATTCAGCTGGGTATTTCTTTATTTGTACAGTTTTATTATATATCGCAACAATTTCATAAAAACAATAATAAATAGTAAAAACTTCAATCTTCAAGTTGGTTTCCCCTTATAATTATTCACGCAAAGCTTATATTGAAAAATATGCAAATTTATTTAAATTGTTAAATATAAATCATTCAAAAAGTATTTTCATGAAAATTTATTGGTTGGGAGGGTTTAATTTCCATTTCCCTATGTACGTGCACTTAAATTGTAACTAAATTGTCTAATTATTGTTATCATTCCGTTCGTGTTAATAGTCCACTTGAGGCACGTAAAAAACTACTAGACAGTACAAATAAAAATAGACCACCCAGTGCAAACATCCGATGAGTGATTACCAAAATACTCGGGTATTTTGAAATGGGGGCATCAAACAGTGGGACTCATAGAATATTTATAAATAAACGCATTTCGGATATTTTCGTACCTGTCAATTAGGAAAAAATAATTTTTCTACCTGGTGTAAAATAAATCTTAGGCAACGTGTGCCAAGCATTTGAACAATTCGTGAGATATAGCACACGCACCTCCCGACAGCAATGACGGCAACTTGATCTGGCCAGACGAAAGTAATTATTCCAGCTCCAACGAAGAGACAGAACGAGTACATTTCAAGTACATGGACAATTTTTTTCTAGTTTTCACTGCACCAAAAAAAAAAAATTGAGTTATTTTTTATTAAAAAATTTCGCTTCTATTTTTTTATGAATTGAAATGAATTTATCAACAATTAACCAATTCTGAGCAAAACTACTACTACCTTCAAGGAGATTAGTCTGGATTTATGTTTGTTTTCTTGCCTAATTGCAATCAATGCAAAAATAAACTTACATTCTTGTAAACGCGATTTTTTTTATTAAATTAAAGTGAGAAAATTGAATATCTTTGGGCATAAATTTTGGGATAAAATATAAAAATTTTTTTTGTTTAAACCTGGGATCTATTTAATTTTAATGGAAATTTCTGATTAGCTTCTTCAGTAAGCGACGTAAATATTAAATTGGCCATTAGCATATTGTGCAAGCAATTCAGACGCATCCTAGAGATAAGCAGTCTGTTTTTTATTTAAAGTACTACTTTACTGTTAATATTTATAGACTTGCAAGTAGCTCATAAATACTAATTAAAAGGAAATCTGCATCTGTTTCCTTAATCTAGCATAAATTATACCGAACTCACATTATTACTATTCAGGAGTTAATTTTTCTGGAAAATATGATGTTTATATTACGTTTGGATGGTTTATTCATTAGAATCAAGCTTCCCTTTAAAAATGTGTTTTGACCAGGATAAGGATTATCGTAAAATTTAAAATAAAACAAAGTCGCCATATTATGCACCAACTTGAGAAATATTAACAACTAAACGATTAGCAAAAGCTATCAATAGAAAAGAAGTATTAAACCATATTTTAACAAAATCGTCATATTTGGTTAGTTCGGATTGGCAAAAGCTATCGAAAAGGCAACTAACTACTCGAGGCAATTTTTCAAACTTGCTATGGCGTTGTACGAAGAAAATAATCTAGTCTCTCTGCATTTTACGACTACATTAACCTAGATATGAATTTTCCAAAATCAATTTACCCTGTCCTTTTATTTTCAGATTTCCATATCACATGGATGGATATTTTGGAACTTAACAAGATCAACGTAGTGGCTCAGAAGGTTAAGGCAACACAAAAGTAAGTCGACTAAAATATATTGTTGCATTTGATTGCACAAAGTAGTAATCATATTTCTGAATTTTGAAACCGTACGCAAGAACAAAACTATAATAGTGTAACGCGGTAAGCATACTTAACTAAAAAGCTATAAATAACAAGAATTTTTACTAGATACAAGGGTCACTCAGAACAAAACCTTCCTATAAATATTATTAACTCAGATCTTTTTGTTTAGAAGATACGGGCAGCTAAATTGTCATTATATTTGTCGTTTCCACAGTCCCCAATACATCAATTTATTATTTGGAAGGCTCGCAACTTTTTAGAAGATAAATATGCTCATCATCAAAAATTTCGTGTTCTACTCCTTACTCTAAAATATACAATTATTCAGCGATTATCCTTGCTAAAGTATCACTTCAAGAAATCAGCTCTGTTAAAAAACATTTTCGGTAGGTTTTAGTCATTTATTGGTATTTTAACATTTTCTCGCACTTAGAGCTCCGTTAATCGTCACTCAGCAAAGCTAATGGTCGTGGTATGAGACGTTTATAACAGCCGTGATAAAAAAAACTTGCACATCTTTGTTTAGAGGCCGGTGTTAAAACTCTTAATTACTTATATTCTTATTTTATTAGTAAAAAATTAGTAAAAACTGCCATATATTGAAAAAGTCGAACTCAAAGGATAATTATAATTGAGAATTTTATTAAATATATTAAATTTAATGTAGTTTTTAAGAAAAGTTATAGAGTTTCGTAATACAACACTCATAACCTGTAGGATTCTCTGATTTTGATCAAAAACTAACAGAAACGATTTATCCGGTTAATCCCCATTGTTAATATTGTGTTTTGAAATGAATTTGGAAATTCGTAGTATCCACGAGCACTTTCCTGGGGACTCCCGTCCCCTACTAATTTGGGAATTCTTCTTAGTGTCATTATTTGGATATGCCCGTGCCAATCCTCGATATTTTCGTCCAGTTTAACTGTCAACTGTCAGAGTAATCTGACGATCTAGTAGGAAGATTGTGATACTTTTTACAAAACTTCTGGATTCCTCCTGCGTCGGTTTTTGCTGAGTCGAACTTGCTGACGTTTCGCCAATCATCCTGTTGCCTTCTTCAGAGCTTGACTGAAATTGGCTGGCATTTTACTCTGTACCTGTGTATATATTGCTTGAGGGGAGCGGAGCCAAATGAGGGACATAAACACATATTGGTGACCTTTGGCCTATTAAGATTGTTAGGTTGTTTATAGATTTCTACAGACTCTTGGAGTTTTCGTTGGTAGAAAAATTGATTGCATGCAATAATTTTATTACATAGAAGAGCAAAGGTAAGGTGTTTTAATTCTGGGATCAGTGACCTCGGGTTGAGATAGTGATGGGACAATGCATTAAGGTATCGGTCTGTGTGCGTAGGTTTTCTGAAAATGCAATAATTCAATTTTAGAATTTTAGGTCTTATTTTCTATTGATAAGAATATCTAAGAATCAGGGCTATTATTAGTTTCCAACTCAATGGTAAAACGTATGTTAGGGTGTATGGAATATAATATAAAAAGAAAATCTACTAGGGTTTTTTGGCCATGAGCCCAAATAACAAATAAAAAAATATGTTCGACGATTGCATTATATACAAAAGATTTTACATGCGATGTTATATTTTTAGACAAGAAAATAGGGTTGAACTTTCTAACATCTTCCCGTATTATTTATTATATTCTTCGAAATCTTAGATATTCAGGCTCTCTTCTTACGGACATATAGTCTTGTTTATATCATCTAAACTATGTGTTGATATGTTGAAACCACAAACATATTCTCCGTTAACCAGTTATCTATCCCATCTGTAGGAAAATATTTTTCTTTCGCTACAAAAAAAGTCTGCTGCGAGCCGCAGCAACTTACAATCAAATGACTTACTGAATAATTGAAACCGGCGTGGCGGAAAGCAGAATTTCAGTAGGTCGAAAATAAATGAAGCCCCGTCGTTGCCAGACATTTAATTCGCTAAAAACTTTTTGAAAAGTAAACACGAAACAGGGGAATTAATCAAATTGGATTAAAATGATTTGGAAAGGCGATGAAAATGCTGCTTGCGTATCGCGGACCGCATTGTATAAATAAATTTTACGCGTGCAACATCGACGTAATCCGGAAAATTTTATATTTGCTCGTATTTCGATTCGTTTTGTTTTTTTGTTTTGAGCCGCCAAAAAACTAAATGTCCTTGATTTATCGCTGCGCCGTTTTGTGCCTTAGCAGACGACTTCTGCAAGTATCGTGTTCATTTGGTAAGCAAGGCAACATTTTTGTCTAACGTGGTTTTCAATTTTGTTGTTTTTTATTTGCTGTTTTTAAATAACAAATGTTTAAAACACCTACTCTAAAATTGGTTTCGGAGAGAGTTTGACATTTCTCAGTTTTAATGGTCACGTCACCCATAACTAAAACCAAAACCCAAAACTCTGAGCGGAAGAAATACGTCTATAAACTTGTTCAGATCTTGTTGCTTAAAAGCTCGCTTCGCTGTGCTGCTTTGCGCTCTTGCTAAAACAAACTCCTAAGATTCTATTTATCAAATTTGTTACATAATATATTTTATATTCTTCAGTCTTCCAACAATTACTCGCAATAGAAATTAACCAAACCTTACTAAACGTCTCAAATAAAAGTAACTTAGAAAACATACAAATGAAATATTCATGAACCAGTGTTATGTCGTTGAAGAATAGAAAACCATTTAGGTGGGTCAACAAAGAAGGATTATTTTATTATCATCAATATAGTTTTGAATTTTTGATTTAGTCTCATATATAAATAACTATATCTTATCACCAATTTTTTTGATAATTTTTACTATAAAAATGGTCTATTATTCTTTTTTGATAAATCTAACCATTTCAAAGATATTCGAGGAAGAATTTAAAGAAAGATTACTTTTCGTTCTGAATTTCGTTATTGACTGAAATACAATTATGTAAAATGTTTTCAATTATTCTTATAGAAAATGCAATGCTCTATAAAAAAGGTGGTCTCTTATGGTTTATCGATATATTCATAATGTGTAATAAATGTTTTCAATTTAATCATTAAATTGACAATTTTTCACAACATTCATAAAACTTGAAATTTATTTTGATAAAATGACAATTTTGAAATTATTTTTTAATCACCTTTCTAACGACATTTTCTTTTATAATTTTTCTTTAATCACAATTGAGGTTCATAATTTAATATTTCTCAACGAGTTCATTTAAAATAAAATAAAAACCACAAGAGATCTTTTTTGTAAAGCACTCAATTTACTATAAGAATAATTGAAAACAAAAAGTTAGTTTAGATTAGATTAGATTAGAGCGTTCAATTTCTTATAAAAATTATCAATAAAATTGGCTTAATAATCTATTGGCGATAATATATGATTAATTACTTTGAGCCTAAAGCGAAAATGCAAAACTATAATGAGGATTGTCTTCCCATTAAAATTAAGAGCTCATTCGTGGTAAGTACTTTCTAGAAGAAACCAGCAACTAGTTTCTGTGTGTCAGATCCGAAAAAAAAAATGTTTTGTTCGACCTACTATAATGGGAGTAAATGTTATAATACAATCTCAATGAAATTATGTGTTTGCATATTTATTTGGGTCACTTTTGTAAACTAATATAAAATCTCACAATCTTCTCGAAGCAGGTAAAAATCATTAACAACACACTAATAAATTGTAGCTCTCAATACTTTTAAAGCTATTCAAAGGATTTTGAGGTGGTGGAAATTAACGAAATAATGTAGGGTCGCATATAGTCTCTATTTAATCTTAATTATACAATTCGAACATTTGCACTAACGCGTCGACGTCTAATAAAATGTGCTTTCATATATAGAAATTCCTGTCAACACTTTTGTTTTAGTATTGAAAATAGCGAGCGCTGAAAATAGTTGATTCGCCGTTAATAGTTATTTCGCCGTTTTTGAGTGTTCACCAAATTGATTCAGAAAATCCCAATTCGAGCAATTCTAAATATAGTTAACTGTCGAAAGCCGGCTTTAATTGAAACAGTAAATAATTTATGGATGGTAGCTGAAAATATCATTTATAACGTTAAAAAATACCCATTTTCCAGACGAAAGCCAAATGTAAATAAATATATTGATTATTCAATTAAATGCTCTCTGGTTCTGTATGACCAGAAAAAAGGTATTTTTGTCAATTATGTACACAAAGTTGTTTTTCAATACTACTAAATAGTCTAAAAAATATAGTTGAAAACAACTTAACCTAAAAAATTTACTAAAGTAAAAAGTTTGTTGTGACCTGAACATACATTTTTTGAGCATATACATCCTAATCATAAGCTAAAGACTAAAACGATACTTGTTTCTCCCTAGAAATACTACTCGGTTACATTCTTATAGTGTACAAGAGGATAAACTTTAAACAATTTCGAAAATTTACCGTTAAACGCCTCACTAATAAATTCACCTTCTTAATATTATATTACGCAACAAGTACGGTAAACGGCATTTGAGTCACCCTTATTTGGCACGAGCGGAGCGAGTGTGTAACAACTTAAAAAGTTTAGCAAACTTGTTGCATACTATACTTTTTCTACGACCGGTAGTTTTTGAGTGATTTTTTGCAAAACAACACTAATAAATTTATTGACATGACCGCCAAAATTGACAAACGTCAAAATTCATTGCTCCATCCGATTGCTCCCAAACCCGTAACCCCGAATTCGTAGGAAAAGCAAGTGACGTGGTAAAATGACACTTTCCGCAAGCTAGATCAGTATACAATTAGATATTTTACAAAAGGGGGTTGAAAAAATATGTATTTTAAGCTGATATATTATTAAACCATCATTTTTCCATGAAATGGACAGAACTATTTCAATATTTTAAACATATTTTCATATACATTTTCATTAAAAACATGTGAATTTACGTTTCTTAATGCAATGTTATAAATAGTTTGTCGTAAAACAATTGTAAATCTTAGCCTTTCTGTA